GAGTTCATTGTTCCTATTAAATCACCTATACCGGGACATCTGTAAAGTTTTTCTTGAGATTCTTATTTATAAAAAAAAACCTGACTTGGCAGATTAAGAAAAGAAAACCATCATATCTTTTTTTCGTCTCAAATAAAGAGAAACGTGTCACGAAAAAAATTGGTAAACGACATGCCGCCCGTATAAGAAATGCGCCTTTATGGCGACAGTAGTCAGAAAGTGTATCGCCACTATGAATTTGTTAAGGAGAAAGAAGATTAGTTACATCCATTAGAGCGGAGTTCTAGTGACTCATAACACAATGACTGGTATATTTGAAATATTTAAGATAATTTTTTGTTTTCTGAGCTAATTATTCCTTGAAAAGGTTTCTGTCACGGGGAGAGCGCTTGTGTCAACAGAGCGGTCTAGAAAATACATCTGTTTGAAAGGAGATCGCCGTTACGTTTTTTCCTCGCTCGGGCGAAGGACTACGTTTATTGTAGAGAGAAAAAATTACGATAACGTGGTAGAGATCAATGAACACATATAAAAGATAGGCAGAGTGAATCATACACACAAATCGCTGAAAATTTCTCGAAAACGGAATTAATTAATTTGTTGTGTTCCGGCATAGGTAGTTTTGCCTACCTAAATGTAAATTATTTCTTTTTTTAAGTTTTCTTTTACTCATAAATAAGAGATTACAAAAGGGACCATTTAAATTGATAAAAAAGCTCTCGTCTTTCTATTTGCCTTTATTTCTTCCTATTTCTTTTTCTCACCAGACTTTCACGCCTATTAAGTGCGTCAATGACAAGCATTAAGAAACTGTGAAAGCACTTTAGAAAAAAATATCAGGGAGAAAACGTAACAGGAAGTTATTAAAACTGCCTCTAGCTATGCTGCACCGATTTTGTTTCATACAAGTACTTACCAAGAACGATCAATGGTCCAAGCAATAGCATTTTTTTGAGAAGCTCCGTCCAGATGAAAGGACTTTTCCTTGAAATTCAGGGATCCAAGATAATCGATAGAAATATCGAGGACAGCAAATTTGCCTTAGCGATTATCTCTTATTCAGACTGCTTCACTTAGGGCCCTACATAGAGATCCAAGAAAATCGATAAAGGGTAAAATTACGAGATTAAAGTCTCACCGAGCTTGGAGTGAGACGCTAAACGATTAGATGGGATGTTTTTTTTTTTCGCCTTATGGCTCGATAACTTAGCTTTTAAGCACGTAGAGCCATTATAACTTCTCCGATGACACATTGACATTACTACGCGCCTAAACAGGTGGCTAATGGATAGAATAATCTCGGTCCATATCAGATGGCAAAAACTTTGTAAAAGGAGGGAGTTTTTGGGGGTTTTATTTTTCTTTTTAAGTTTTTTTTTCGGTTAGCATTTATATTAGCCTCGTATCCAGTTTCTTCAAGCAACGAAATTAAGCATGAATTTGTGCTTGTTCCTATCGAGTACCTGCTATAGATTAAACAGAAAACAATACAAAAGCTGAACAGAAATGATACCTACTATTCAAATTCCATCATTCTGGGTTTTTTTTTTTTGTTGTTGAAAGCTGTCAGGGCACTTAGATTAATGTCCTATGTTGACAACCACTATCGCTGTCTCATTGGATTTTGGAAATAAGTCGACCAATAATTGTGTTATGTGGATGATTATTTTTACTGCTATTATCAGATCATGTTCTGAGGAGGCAAAATATGCAGTACAGGAAATGATTTTCCTATTACACCTTTGAGATGAAAAGCAATTGTTTCTTTCTTTCTTTTCTTTTTGCAGATCTGCTTGTTTTTGTTTTTTGGTAGTTAAAAGGTGATAACAAGTCGAACATCCCATTGCATGAAGATAACATTTACTAAATGAATCAAAACCGGGATCCGATTCTTTAACATTATTATTTTTGTTGATTTTACCCGTTAGAATCCTTTGGAAGAAGGAAAAAAAAATTGGTTTGGGGACTTATTCATTCAGCTACGCAACGCCCAGTCTGCAGATGGCCCACGCATATGCAGACCCCAGGACGCTTTACACGCTGTCATCTCTCCTACCCTTATAACGTTATGCAGAAGCAAGACAGCGGTGCCTGAGTTTCTGTTTCTGTTCTCGTTGTGGTTGTTGCTGTTGTTAAATTTGTTGAGTAAATCTCGGCTAATAGATTATCTCTTTATTAATGTCTCTCAGATGTTGACGAGTGTACCAGTGGTGCTAGAGATTCTCAAAGTCGTTCGCTTGATTTTCGGCTCTGGTGTGGTAGGACCCGCACGAACGACTTTAATCCCTTGCAGCGTGCTAAATTTACTGATGGAATTTTCCTCCTGTAATTTTATCCACTCAGAAGCAGCCTTATGAAACCGCACGTCAATCAAACAGATCACGCGCGCAACATCTTGAAACATGACACCTGTCTAGGTAAAATTTGCTTCGAGAGTTTTGGTTCGCTGTCTGTTTATGTTGAGGTTTTTACTAAAACTTAAATTTTCCATTGGTTGTACGATGCGTTCAGTCAAGGACTCAATAGCTTAAGGGTTGCGAAAAGCACAGTTCAAAGATGTTCGTGAACATCAAAGGAAAGTAATCGAGGGTTACTGCAGTGGAAAAGACGTATTTCTTTCTGCGCCAACAGGATCAGGAAAAAGCTTGACTTTTGATATTGCTTCCTGGAAATGTGTTCTTTTTTTGTAGTTGCTGTGCCACTGGTCGCCCTTTTGAATGACCAAGTTGCCTCTTTAGTTGCCCGAGGAGTATCGGCTGCTACAGTTGGAGCAGACTGCAGTAGGGAACAAGTAAAATAAATTTCTGAAGGAAAATACTCGTTGTTATTTGGAAGCCCCGAAGCTCTATTTAATAACCACCGAAGCATTTTCAGCTCTTTCAGCTCTTCTCAAGCGCTTTACTCTGACAGAGCTTTGTAAATTGCTTCTTAGACTACCTTTTGGTCCAGAAAAGTTAGCACTAACTTGGAAATTTCTTTGTCAGCGTTTCGTTGCGTTTCAAGCAGTTTCGGCAAGGAGTTCCCAATTCGTTGCCTCGCGGAAAAACATCTCCTAGAAGAAGATCCAGACTTTTACAAGTTTTGGTCTCCTGTTTCCCTGAAAACAGCTTTCTCCGTAACGCCGGATTTTCTACCAATTTGCCACATTTTAGGTAAATGTTGTCCGGTACAGCAACCTGAATAAAAGTTTAAGTTGGTGTAGTTTACTCCTCCATTACTAAACCATCGAAGTCGATTTCATGAGGAGCGAAAAGTATTTTGACAGTTTGACTGGCAGCGGTTGCAGAAGTTGTCGCCAAAATGACTTCGCTTGATGTGAAACTCTGCAAGGGAAACAAGTTGCGCTTTTGCTCGCTCGCGGGCTTTCGCTCCCTCGGCTCGGCTTGCTCGCGCCTCGCGCTCACTGTCGCGCAACGCGCTCAAAAGCGTAACTCGTAGGCAAGTCTACAGTGGTTCAAACAACTGACACAGTTTGGCTTCATATATTAAAACCGTTGGATCCTACACGTGTTCGTGTAATCACTCGTATGCTGGAGACGGAAAGAATTGTTATCTGGTATCAGGTAAGCGGATGAGACGGGTCTTCCTTGCTCCTATCTTACAGTGGAATCCAGCTCTTTTTCCTTTAACACGTTTCATACGGAATAAAAATATGCAAGGATACTGCGTGAAAAAAATGACAACAACTAAGAGAAGTTGAATGTCAAACCACCGAACAATTCGCAACTCCCTACAGTCATATTTATTTTGATAGCGGAAAAGTTCTCATTAAGCGTAGTCCACATAAGGCAATTTGTTTCAAACACAGGGTAGTGTGTAACCAATCAGAAAAGTAGGAAAAGTTCTGAACTATATGTACCAAGTATAGACCTTTACAGCGTTAGCTTTGTGTCAAAAGATACGAGTCAAAAAAGCAAAACAAAAACCACGTCCGAGCCGTTATGTAATAATTTCATAGAGCATGCGTGTCACGCATGACATCCCAACGTGACATCTCCTCTTCTTAAAAAAAAAGTTAAAACATAAACGAGATTCTAACAAATAAACAAGGTTCTAAAAGTCCACAATGTTCCGAGTGTGTACGACTGCAAAATCACCCCAAAAGTTCTAGCTTAAACTTGTGATCAGCTTGATAATATTACTATGCAGTTTCAATAAGACGCTCTGGTGGTCTACGGACCCGTAGACTTCTTCTGACAGGTTGATACTTTTGCGGGAAATCCGGCTGTGCTTCCATCTCTGACGTTTCGATACCAGCATCAGTGCTTGGCTGCATACATGGATTTGACTCATCACTGCCTCCTGCTACCCATGCTGGGCTTGGTGCTGGGCTTGGGACTGGATATGCCTCCTCCTTGGTCGATCGAGGATGGAAGCGGTTTCGACGCATCTGGGTTCCATCAGGGGTCGCTACAATGTACGACCGAGGAGTCTGGTGTTGTCGGATGACCATTGCGGGTGTCCATTCTCGTCCCTGCTTCATTCGCACAGGTACGCCTTCG